ACAAGACAAAAACTAAAAAAAAATGTAAAAGATACAAAAGAAAAGACAAAAAAACATAACAAGTAGAAGGAGGGCAAAGGGAAATAAAGTAATGGATCCCAACACTTATTCCATTGATATACATACATAGCATTCACAAGGCCAGTAGTGCGGGTAACCCCTGCCTTTGGGAGGAGGTTTCCCCAGCGTTTTTGCAGGTTCTTCGATACCGGCATTGGTTCTACTAGCGCGATGCCAGAGGCTAGAAACACACAACAGCCCATGGATGCATTATAACCAGTTTCCCCTATACGTTTCCCCTTCCTTCGCCTTCACCAATGCAAGCTTAGATTTTCGTCCTCGTTAAACAAAGGCGCTTGGTGTTTTCCGGGCATGGCCGTCGCGCCGTTGCCACCTAGGGAGAGTCAAACGACGAAACGAGCGGTCGGACGCCGAAGAACGATGCGCTGTTAGAAGGCGGGGGCTCCAGTCCTTTTGTGCCCACCAGGGCCAACGCTGCGAGACGTCACCAAGCGTTTTCCTTGTCGTGCCAGTCGATGCGTAACGAAAGACAAGCGGGCACCAGGCGACCAGTGAGAGATTCCAAGCCGCGTGGCACGGGCGGGAGATGAAAGAATAAAATATCCGTGCCAGAGGCGCAACAGCGGCAAACCCACCGGGCGGCGGCGAGATTTCAGGTTTCAAAATATTGGTTTGGGGATTAGACTTGACGTCGGGGTTAGCAGACGTCCGGGTGATAAAATATTAATTAGATGTCAGGTACAGATTAGAATGCGCAAGAGCGAGGAGAGCGAGACTAGGACATGCCCATGACACAGCGTATGCAGGAACAGGACGCTACAGTAGATATATTAATATCAAATCACTATCATCCACACTTTTGGCCCCCACGATATCAGACCGTCGATCACAGCAGGGACGCTGCGTAGGTAGCAGGGACACTCAACGGTGAGCGCAACCCCTGAACCCGCCGGTCGGGTGTCATAGCCGCCGTCGTTTCACGCGCGGTGAGAGGCCAGCGAACCGAGAAATCCTGGCATCGGGACGAACCCGCGATATTTGGGATCGGAATTGGGGGTCTAGGGATCAGAATTGGGGTGGAATTGGGGTCTCGGGCGGAGTTGGTGTGTGATTTTACCAAGCCAAGGAGAGAGAGCATGACCAGGGAAAACAAGTGTAGCGGGATCTACATCCGTTCAGTTCCAAGGGCAGCGGCGACACGCGGCAGCGATCGAGGGCGGCGGGCGGAGTTCCGCTCCAGTGATCTAGGAAACTCTCCCTACGCTTCCCCTGGTCCCGTCGAGTAAAATGATCAAAACCTTAGGAACGCAGGGACCCCCTTCCTTGCCTGAATACAGAAGAAGCGTCGAGCTGGATGCAGGGGGTTGTGAAACGTCGATTTGATACTACCTCATCCAAGCACTCGCGTATTTGTGAACCACTACTCTACTCGCCCCGAACACTGAATTAAGACGAGTGACAACAAACTGATAGTTGGGATAGCATCTCTCAGCCCCCCAATTACCGACAAAAAAGTTGGCGGGTATGTCCGTAAGCTACGGGAACTGCAAGGGAGGAGCAATTGTAAAACCACGGCTAATAAAACAGGCATAGGCATTCGGGCATTCCGGCCGGCGCCGCTAGAGCGACTAATAAGGCCGATTTGTCGAACCGATTGGGACCAAGAAATAAAAACGTGGCAAAGGGGAAAATGCAAAAATGCCTGTCGATCGATCTCCTGTCTCTCTCTCTCTCTCTCCAACCGCCTCTCCACCCATCCGCTCCGTCCTATCAATCGCTCGTCAATCGTTGTACGAGTGCAACTGTACGGCCCAGCCGTTCGGCAGCACCACCTCGCCCGCATGAAGGCGGCCAACGCATGGCCCGTCTACTGTGTAACGTCGGCAGGTAGCCTGCGATGCCACCCCCCTAATGCAGCGAGGTGACGTGATTTCTCGGACACTGAGGATGGGTTAACGGAGTATTTCGACGCGCCGCAACACCTGGGGGTTGATCGGCGCGGCTGGAGAAGTTGCGCTTTGATTTGTCCCTGATGGAATGGAATTCTTCCAACGGCTGTCTCGTTCCGGTCGGGGAGCTGGATAGGTTATGTGTGGGCTGACCAACTTCCTTCCCGCGAGTTAAGATCACCGTCTCGATACCGCGTGGTATGCGGGTAAATGCGTCAGCGGCCTGCCCATTTGTCCCCCCTTCCCCCCTCCATCCCAATTCATCCCCGGGCGCGGATCTTAAGTGACCACCACCAAAGTCCTCGAACCAGGGATTGCACGCGTGGAAGCAGTCGGGAAATCAGGTCTAGCGTGATAACCTGGCCCTAGTATAGGAGCAGTGGAATCCTGCAACCGCGAGTCGCTTGATGTCGTTGCTCGTCGGCCCCTCGATGGGCCGGCGTGTCAACGAGGCTCGGCGTGTTGTGGAGGCACTGCGGAGCGACTGGTTGCCAAAATATTGCGAGTATTAAGCCAGGCTGGGGAGGTTAGGCTAAGTCGGTATTCGACTGATCTCCGCTAGGCTGTTCGTCGTCGGGCGTTGTTGTGTTAATCCCATGGGTTGCTTTACCGGGCATGGGCAACGATTTCGGCGTAGACATCGTCGGGTATCATTTTGATTACGGCGAGCGTGGTGGCCTTGATCTGGTCGGCCTGGAGTGCCGGGAATGATCGGAGGAGCTTGTTTGGGCTAAGAATATTATGTTAGCTGTGCTGTTCATGAAAAGTAACACTCGAACCGGACGTACCTGGGCGATTCCATGATCTTGGTGCGGATCATAACCAGCTGCGCAACGATGCACAAAATATTAAGATGCGGCCCGTACGCAAAGAGAAAGTCCCAAAGCCTCAGGACTTCGGGCAAGGGGGGCGTGCAGGCGCAAAGCGTCAAAACGGAGGGGAAGGCGTAGATTTCGGCCGACAGGTTTTTGGACAGCAAGTGTAGACTGAGCTTGGGATCGACAATGGCCAGCACCTTGTCGACCAAGGCCAGCCCCTTGTGCACGCCGTCCATGGCGCCGCGGATGTAGCCCGGACACTCCTTGGTCAACAGCTGGTGGAAAGCAACATATGCCTCGGCCTCGCTGCGGGCGGCGTACAGGAAGGGGGCTGCCAAGACGTTCATGCCTTGGACATAGGTGCCCGGTTCGGCCGTCACGCTGGTGACAGAACCCTCGGTCGTTAGTGTTAAAGCACGCGCTCTTTTTGCCGCCGGAGAGGAGGCCGGGCTTCCAAAATCACTGCTGTAGCCCGTTCCCGGTCGGCTACTCGACTGGTCGAGCGATTGGCGCGTGCTGCTAGCCACGCTCGGGTCGCGCGTCCGCCCCTCGCGAGCATCATGCAATGTCCAGGCGAAGGCATTGAGCAGGCGTATAAGACTTGCCTCGCTCACGCGACGTCGGAAGAGCGGGTCGGTAGAAAGAGTGCGGAAGGTATCGTTGCGAATCTTGGAATAGGCCGGCGACGCGCCGCGGTGGATAAGGGCAAGGTAGCTGTCGGTTTCGAGCATGGGCGCGTTAAGAAGAATGAGCCAAACGTATATGCGGAGCGAAGACTGTGCTCCTGAGTTAGCGACCTAGGAAACCACACATGCTGGGGTGTCGCTCACCATGCCATCACCGTCAGACCTGATGCCCTGGTCGAGGATCTTGAGTCGCGTGCTTTCGAGGGCACCATCGACGTCGCCGTTAGGGGGTCCTTCCCGCAGCAGCCTCTCGAGAGTCATGGCGTCGGCTGCGAGGGACCGTCTGCCGAGCGCGGAACGGCGCGTTGCTGTCGATGCTGTCATGTTTGCGTTGGTGAACTGGGCGGCGTTGGGGATCGGCGGCGCGTCGCTGTTGGAGCGTCCTCTCTGTGGCGAGCGGTTGGTGCTCGCATGTCTTCTCGGGGCGGGAGGGTACCGTTGTTGGAGGTGCTGGTTCAGATTCTGGAACTGGAGCTGGGGCTGGGGCTGGGGTTGGGGTTGCACCTGTTGCTGCGGTTGGATTTGAAGTCTTTGCTGCGAAATGAGGGACGGTTGGGCAGCAGCCTTCGCTCCCAGGCTATGGGCCGACTGCAATCTCCTGAGTGTTCGTTGAGGGCCCGGAGATCTCGGGGGGTGGAGCTGCATCGCCGACGGAAGAGGCCCTAGCGGAGACAGGGTCTCCTTGGTGGGACTCGGCATCCTGTCTAATTGATTCAAATCTCGTAATGTCATGTTAGAGGTGCCTTTTTCGACACTATTAATTGGTAAGTTTTCAAGACAATGGCGACGGCAACACTGGCGATGGAAGCGCTCCGCCACAGGAAACTCGGGCAAGGTGGTTGACGATTGGGCCGAATCCTGGCAGGAGGTTGGAGGGAAAGTTGGGACGAGTGGGAGCCCTGAATGCGGGCTGCGGGCAACCTGGAAGTGCACCTGTGGACGGCCCAGCCGCCGTGTTCATTTCGCGACACCGCGTCCATTCAGCCAATAACTAATTAACTACCTAGGTACGAATAGTTAAACCGCACTCACTCTTTTACGAAATAATGGCAAGCTCTTCTTCTGCAGATTGAGACGGTCTGCGGGGCTCAACTCCTATTCCGTGTTCACAGTCTTGGTGGATTCAAACTCTCTCCGGTGCCTCGACTTCGATACCCGTCAAAGCCGTCCTTCGAAGATTTTGTTTGTTGCCCCCCTCTTGCACCTTCTTCAGGGCATAGAACACGCAGATCCTTGGCGGATCGCTCTTGAATCTCGCGTGGCTGGACCGGGGCTTCCCAATCTAGCGGTTTATGCCCCACCAAACACTGGCTCGTCCGGTTCCCCGGCCGTTGCCCCGCACTTTATGGAAGCCATCGAAGCCCAGAAACCTTCAGCTTCAGCACGCCTCAGCACTCAAAGGGATTGTGAGGATTGTGATGTTCAAGGATGCAAATACCCGCCAGTTTTCGGGAAAACATTATATAATAACACCAGCAGCGGACCCACGGTAACTCTGGCCTTTTTTATTGAGTTTAATTCTTTTTTCTTTCTTTTTCTCCGCAGGATCCCAGTCGAAATTTCGAAATTAACATCAATCAACAACGGAATGTACGCCAGTTACAAACAACTAGATCTGTGCGATCGAATTCAAATCCAGCAAATCATCCCCCTTTGCCAGTGTTCTTGTAAAGATTCGGGTTCTGGAAGCTTTGGCAACTTGAACGACGAGGACCTCGAACTGGCCTGAACTCTGCCCAAGCCGGGCCAGCAATTCTTGTCCGCTGGCAATTAAGGACGAGGGAACGTACGTCCTGCTAGGTGCCTCGGGATATTTCCTGGCGATCTTGATCCTCGTTGTTGCGTTCGATCAAGTGTCCTACGACCAAAACATACATATATCTCCACGTGTGTGTGGCATGTTTCATCCGTTCTCGACCCGTGGCCTCCCCTCGCTTTCCGAAATAGGATATCGGCTGCATGGGGATTGGTCGGCATAGCAAGCGCCCGAAGCGGATGGGTTTCCATGCCAAAGAGCGGGCGGCTTTGTCCACAAGTTCCGATGCGGCTCGTCGCGGTTCGTCGCGACCCGACCGAGGTCGACATTCAACAAACAACGTTCAGCATTGCCCTACAGGTGTAGTCACATGGCTGCATGGGTAGCTATCAAGTTCACCACTGCATGAAAGAGATCCCTGACATCGGGCACATTCCCATCCCGACAACCCGGCACGTGCCCGGCACGTGCCCGGGTTGGCGACGCGTTTGCACAGCAGGTTTACTGGTTTAAACTTCTACCGATGATGAATTCACCCCACCGATCAGCAATCTCACCGACTCGGGTTCCCGGTTTGATTAGAGGAACCCGGCTACCACTAGCAGGCTCTTGGAGATGACGCAGTCATCGTTGGGGACCCAGCGGCACGAGGTTATTAGTCTAACCTTCGCGGTCTATCGGCGACGGAGTTTGGCGGTCCTCGCGATGGAGCATGCATGGGCTGAAAGTCAAAGCGGCAAGGCGGGGGCACACTTCCATTCGGATGTCAGACGCGGGAAAGCTGCGCAGCGCAGTACAGGCCCAGAAGCCACATCGATCTCGGAAGCTTACCTAGATTGCCAACGAGATCGAACATGCGGGGTTGATGACTTACAAATCTTGCGATTGGACTCCCCGAAAAGAGGAACTCAAAGCTGGGCGATTTCGCAAGCTGGCGTGGGGGTTAAGCTTTGAGGCGTTGAACTTGGCGAGCACATCATCGTTGGGGCCAAATTGCATCATCGCCATCCCGGCTGATTATTCGTTCCTCGGCCCGGCACGCTGCCCACCATGACGCCGTTCTGGGTTGTCGATGGGACCCAAGAATATCGCTCCAAAGCACCGGTGCCTCTTGTCACCCAAAAAAAAAAAAAAGCCGTTGCTGGGCGGCGTGCTTGATGAATGCGGGAGCTGGGGTGCTGGTGCTGGGCTGCCGGGGTCCTTTGGGTATGCCGTTGGGCTGGCTCCTGGCAACCTGACTGTCCGGGCGGTATCGGGTTGCACGGCATCTGCGGATGGCATACGCAGGTGACAAAGCCATTGTCGTATCCATGACCACAAAATTGCTCGATCCAGTCGGCATATCGACAAGTTAGTTATGGTGTTTCTTCGTCTCAACCACATCTCCGCCCTCTCAGGGGACCCCGGACGCGGCGGAGGTACGGAGGTAAGGACCCCCGATGGAGACAGGGACAGAGCATGTACCGTTGCCCCTCGTCCCATTCAAGGCACGAGCAAGGCCACCTCTTCCCTCCTGGGCTGCTTATTCGCCCAGCTCTGCCCTGGCAATATCCTGACGACGGGTTCCATCCCCAGTTCCACTGTCAAACTCCCGCTGCTAAACTGTGATAGGCAAGGCATCGATTGCGCCATCAGCTCGTGCCCGCTCTCCGCAAGTTCCGAGACCCGCTTCCTCACATACTGTCATGTTGTGTAGTAGCGAAAAGCGGTACAAGCCAAGCCCCCTGTCAACCCTTTTCTTCACACTCTACTTGTATTTTGATGACAATTGCAAGGGCACTCAACCTTCTTAATATCTCCGGAGCTGGCCTCTTTCCATCTTTGCCCCTTTGCCAGAGTTCCCTATCAACTAGGTTTCTCCCATCGAAACGAGCTCTGCCCGTTAGTCGGTTTACACAGACCCATCCTCAACACTCCAGACACGTGCTTTAGGCACCTTACCGAAGGCAACATATCACCTGCGTCTCGACATCATCTGTGCGGCAACACGCGTGGACCTCCTCCCACTAGACACACATTTAGGCAAACTCGTCCTCCCAGGCTCATCCATTGCTTCTTCGTCCGCTTCCACCTCGTCACACTACTGCAAACTGATCATTGATATCCCCCATTTTTCAGTTTGGAGGAACGGCGCGCCAACTCCACCGCCACGATTGGACTTGCACAATACCTACCGCTTTGATCTTGTATATCGGAGGCTCTTCCCCAGGCACGCCGCCCGAGTCCCAAGCCATAAGACGGCGCGATGCCTCTCAGGGCCCGCCAAACAGTGGCCAACGTGCTCGGCATAAAACTTCAGGGTGAAGATCCTTTCAAGGAACTCGATAGGCCGGGGGCGTCAATGATGTCCGATCGGACAGACCACACCTTTGTCGAGGAGCCACCTCTAGTTACCGACTACCTAAAGAGCCTCATCCCGTCCGGCCAGGAACTTTACGAATACTCCCTCTCGCTATTCCCATTCCTCTCCTGGATTGGGCACTACAACCTACAATGGCTCCTTGGAGATCTCGTTGCTGGTAAGCACGCCCTTTCTGACGGTGAGAAGAAGAACAAATCGCTCACTGGCCACAGGTATCACCATTGGCGCTGTTGTCGTTCCCCAAGGCATGGCCTACGCCAAACTGGCTAACCTCGAGGTCCAATTCGGCCTGTACTCTTCCTTCATGGGCGTTTTGATCTATTGGTTCTTTGCAACCTCCAAGGATATCACTATTGGTGTAAGTAGGCCTTACTGACCTCGTGCTACCTCGGAAATGCTAACATCGCACAGCCGGTTGCCGTCATGTCGCAGCTTACCGGCGGCATCGTTGCCGACCTGGCCGTTGCTCTACCTGACATCGAGGGCCATGTTATCGCCTCCGCTCTTGCCATCCTCGCCGGCTCCATCGTCCTGTTTATCGGCCTCATCCGATGCGGGTGGATCGTCGATCTCATCTCGCTCACTGCCCTCTCAGCTTTCATGACCGGCTCCGCCCTCAACATTGTGGTCGGCCAGATCCCTTCCATGATGGGCATCACGGGCTTCTCGACTCGTGAAGCGCCCTACATCGTCTTCATCCATACCCTCCAAGGCCTCCCCCGCACCACTCTGGATGCCGCCATGGGTCTCAGTGCTCTGGCGATGCTTTACCTGATCAGGGCAGGCTGCTCGTTCGCTGCGAAACGGTGGCCGCAGCACCAGCGTTTGGCTTTCTTCCTCTCGACGCTGAGGACCGTTTTTGTCATCCTCCTATACACCATGATCAGCTGGCTCGTCAACCGGGGCCTTCCCAAGGACCAGGTCAAATTCAAGATTCTGCTTGACGTCCCGAGAGGTAAGTCATAGACTTCAGGTAGACACCAGCCGAGACTAACCGAAACGCAGGCTTCCAAAACGCAGCGGTCCCCGTGCTTAACCAGCGTATCGCCAGCAACCTCGCGAGCTATCTACCCGCCACTGTCATCGTCCTGTTAATCGAGCATATCGCCATCTCCAAGTCGTTCGGCCGGGTGAACAACTACACTATCAACCCCTCGCAGGAGATGGTCGCTATTGGTGTCACCAACATGTTGGGCCCTTTCTTGGGCGGCTACGCTGCTACCGGCTCCTTCAGCCGTACCGCCATCAAGTCGAAAGCCGGCGTCCGTTCTCCGTTTGCGGGTGTCATCACGGCAGCTGTAGTCCTGCTCGCTATCTACGCCCTGCCCGCCGTGTTCTACTACATCCCGAACGCCTCCCTCGCCGCCGTCATCATCCATGCCGTCGGTGACCTAATCACCCCGCCGAACACCGTCTACCAGTTCTGGCTCGTCTCGCCGCTGGAGGTCTTAATCTTTTTTCGTCGGCGTGATCGTTACCGTCTTCTCAACCATCGAGAACGGCATCTACGCCACCGTTTGCCTCTCGGCCGCCATGCTCCTCTACCGCATCTTGAGGGCCAAGGGCCGCTTCTTGGGACGTGTGAGCGTGGCGTCCATGCTGGACGACCACGTGGTTGGCGACGACTCGCGCCGGGGTGGCGAGTACGGAACGTTCACGGGCTCACCGGAGGCCCCCTTCCGCAACGTGTTTCTCCCGATTACCCACGCCGACGGCTCGAACCCCGAGGTGGAGCTGGATAACCCGTACCCGGGTATCTTCATCTACCGCTTCGCCGAGGGGTTCAACTACACCAACGCGAGCCACAGCCTGGCGTACATGACGGAGTACATCTTCGCCCACACCCGCCGCACCAACCTCGAGAGCTTCGAGCGGCCAGGCGACCGCCCCTGGAACGACCCGGGCCCGTCGCGGCGCAAGCTCAAGGCCGCCGCCGCCGCCGCCACGGGGTCCGCACCGAGCGAGGACGATGGCGACAACGCCAACCGCCCCACCCTCAAGGCCATCATCCTCGACTTCAGCTCGGTCAATCACGTCGACATCACCTCCGTCCAACAACTGATCGACGTGCGCAACCAGCTGGACCGGTACGCCGCCCCGGACACGGTCGACTGGCACATCGCGTGCATCAGCAACCGGTGGGCCAAGCGGGCGCTCGCGGCCGCCGGCTTCGGCTACCCGACCGCCCGCCCGGACGTGCCCCACCTGCGCTGGCGCAGCATCTTCTCGGTCGCCGAGATCGGCGGCGCCCAGAGCGCCGCCGCCGCCGCCGAGCTCGAGGACAACGAAAAACTCCTCGAGAACACCCTCCGCCGCCACCCGTCCTCCGCCGCCCGCTCCTACGCCACCAGCCGCCACCGCCAGCGCGCGCCCGACCTGGAAGCGGCAATCCCGACGGAGGGGGGAAGTGGCGCGTCGGCCAAGGCGGATGATGAGGGTGCTGATGGTGCTGATGGTGCGGATGGGGATAGGGAGAGTGATGGTGGTGCTGGTGCTAATGGTGCTAAGGATACGGCTGCTGGGGTGTTGGCGCCTGCGCCGGCGTTGCATGCGGGTCGTACGGTGGCTGTCCATGGGATCAACCGCCCGCTGTTCCATGTCGATTTGACGAGTGCGTTGCAGAGTGCGGTGGCTAATGTTGAGGCGCGGGGGGAGGTTGCTACGGGGCTAGATGCGGGCGGAGCGGTGGCTGGGGCTGGGGCTGGTGCGGATGGAGGCTCGGATGCGAAGGCCGGTAGCGGGGAGGTGACGGATTCGAGTGGCACGTTGCGGTGATGAGGTGGTGCGGTAGGGAAGTTATGCGGGAGGTGGGTGATGTTGGGAGGGGGTTGTGTCTTGATCATACAGGCAGCGGGTGGCGTTGGGGTGTTTCATTGGAGGTTTGGACTGATTTATTTTGAGTTTTATGGTTTTTGGATTGCTGGAAGAAGAATACCCCATAGAGCATTTCTGGAAAGAATTCATTTTGCATATGAGCGAACTAAGAGATGTTATTTTGCTAATCTATTACTCCTCTATGCCGTGGTGACTTGAGATGGGATATGCATACAATTCGAGCCCCACTGTAAATGCTCACCAGGTCACGTTGGTGATAGTTAAATTAACATGATGCTCAAACGCTTTTTCGCACTCGAAGAAGGCTATTTGGGGAGGTGGTTCAGGTCAATGTTGCCCCCCTGTGGCCCGGTTATGACAGCAGTAGTATCAAGGCACGGTGAATAATCTCCAAATTGCTAGACCACAAGTGTCGCGAGTGTCGAGAGGAATTCAATGGCATCATTCTCCATTGCAGCAAGGCTAGGTCAACTAGCCTACTAATACGCGCTTCTATCTAGGTATCCGACAGACAGCCCCATGTGCACCCGCCAGCGAGTGTCTCCTCTGTCACTCCTCACTTCTCGGAGGACATCCCTATTACCCATGGTATCTAGCGGCGCTGAGCCGAGGGTTTTGTAACAGAATGGTATAGTTATACGAAAAGCAGAAACACCAAAATCCTTTGCCGTTACCGTTGCCGTCGCCGTTCATCAGCTTGAATCAAGGCGGCCAGCCGCGGTTGATGTTGTTTGTACAGTTTAGATAGCCGAGCGTTGGTCACACTCGTGCTGTGGTGAAAGGTAAGAACCCTCAGCTCCAAATTCAGGATCCGCGGGGTCTCTTCTTTGAACCCCCCGGATTGTCCTGCGGGCTGCCCTGGGAAGCGGGGCGTTTTGCGCCCCTCCCACTCCCTCTCCCGACCGTCCTACCGCGACCGCCCCTGCCTTGGCCTCCCCGCCCTCGAGCGCTCGCCGGTAGTTCAGGGGTGAGAAACCGCACGCTGCTGGTAGAGCGACTCGGCTCGGGGTGTTGGACAGCGCCCGGCGACGGCTCGTCCAGCGGCGGTGTCTCGCTTCGTGGGACGCCACTCCCGCTGGCCGCGCCGGCATCCTCTACCCTATAACTCCGCATGCGGGAGATCAGGCTCCGCATATTGGCGACATAAGAGGGTGGTGCGCCGTACACGCCGATCTTGTCCATGATCTCCTCGAGCGCGTCGATGAACTGGCTTTGGTCGGCAAGCATGTCCAGTGAGGAGTAGACAAAGCCGGTGTCCTGGTCGCCGATTAGACGTGCATACAGATCCCGCTGGCCGACTACGGACTTGAGGATGACGACGAGTGACCGGGCGGCGGATGATCGAGCCCACCACGAAAGTGGACTGGAGCCGCGAGAGACGAGTTTCTCGATCCGCCTTACGCTGTGGTGGATCTGGCGGCATGCCCAGTCCACACTTCGAGGGCCCTCTACCCGCCTCTCTCGCCTCTCGGCAACGGTGGGATCGCGCTCGGGATCTAAGGATGCGTCCAGTTGTTGGATGACGCGGGCGACTCGATACTGGATACTTCGGAAGGGGTCGACCGCGGGGTCCGAGGGGCTAAGTTCAGCGCGCACCCACTCTGCGAGCGAGTGGGAAGCGAGTATGAGAGAGAACAGGGTCCCTCCCAAATCGCCACGGCGTATCAGTATGTCGGGGTTGTATGACTGCTCTAGGTCCGGCCTGTAGTCGTCGAGTTCGTATGGTTGGACGCCCGCTACGGCAGCCACCATTTCCCGGGCTTCTCTTACACGGGTGGGGTTGGGAGGAGTGATGTCGCTGTCAGGCTCAGAGGTATCGCAGCGGAGATCATCGGCGAGGATATCGATGCCGATCTGTGAGATCTGGTCGAAGGGGTCGCCTAACTCTTCGGGGTAGCCAAACTCTGTCAGGCTGAGCTCCGAGTCGGGATCGTGGTCGAAGAGGGCTTGTTTTGAGATCTTATCAAAGAGCCAAATGAGATGCTTGCAGGGACTCGCGTGGCCGTATCTCGCATCGGGGCACTCGCATTTCGGTGTGGCGAATCTCTCGCTGTCCCGGGCACCGATCCTAACAGAGCACGGCACCACCTCGTGCATCTGGAAGGCGTAAAAGAAGCCGGCACCTTCAGAGTCCTCTTCCCTGACACCGCAGAGCTCGAGTGAAATCTGAGGAGGTTCTCTTGGAGATATCTGGTTGAAGAGTCCTTTGGCTGTCTGTCGGGCTTCTGGTGAGAGTCGGGATACGTTGTATTTGAAACCCGTTAGTGATGACACAACGTTTGTCCCTTCGTCATCCGCCTCCTCTTCCTCGACCTCCCAGTCACTTGCGTCCGAGGCGTTCTCGGAGTCAGGCATCGAAGCAGTTGTGCGTGGTGATGGCATCTGGCCCTTGTTTGGGGAGACGGATGAGTTGCACTCGAGGGAAAGCCTGCTCAGTCGTGTGGTCGGGGATAGGGACATTGGGGCCCGAAGAGAAATATGTAGGGGAGGGGACGGAAGTTGTAAGAGCAAGTGGGGTTGAAATCGGGGCCGAGGAAGACAGGTATGCATCCGAACCAACGATGACGGGCCCGGAATGTTTTCACGGATCTCTTATATGACTCGGAGGATCGATCATAGTTATCCGGGCAGGTATGACGGCTGGTCCGAGTGCCCTGGCCGGCCCAACGGGTTGGGCTAAGGCTGGATGCGGACATGGTAGGGACTGTTGGTTGCTGCCCGTCTTGGCCAGGAAGAACTGAGGACATCATGGTGGATGGCCTGCCCACTAGGCCGGGGTGATCCGCAGTGCTCATGAGCCACGGGAACACCCAACCTGGCAACACGGATGCCAGAAACGACTGGTATCTTTGACCTGTGCCCCTATACCTGCAGCAACTTGCATGCGGGCCCACTGGGAAAGAGGATAGGGGGGAAGGGGGGAGGGATGGATCGGTAGATGGCAAGGTAGGCAACCCACGGCTGGGCCCCGTAAGACCGGGGTGACGCAAAAGGAGATGGTGCAGGAGAAAGACTGCAGTACCGAATTGCGACTGGCAACCCGTCAGCGTATCGAGAGCGGCCCTTAGGAAAATGAAGACGGTAGCCATTCCACTACCCTCCTATTCCGCGTCTCTCGTCTCTCGATAAAACAAGTCCATTGGTTGATGGTGAGATGAGCGAACGTTGACGACGCGGAAGCGGGTCGTTGCGAAACGGTCGGGAAGTCACGCCGGGCGAAGCACATGGATCGCCCTGCGGCGGGCAATATTTGGCACATGCATCCATCCTGAATTCATTTGTCACGGCCATCCATGGTGACACTGTCATCACAGTCGCGGCCTCCAACAAGCAGCAGCAACAGCCGCGGCGGAGACCGGAGAGCGGAAAGCGGGATCCAGTGCCAAATCAAACTCGGCGAGAGAGGCAAGCGCATGTTTCCTCATCCCAACTTGCGCTTAGGATGGCGGAGCAAACTTCCTTGTAGGCTAGGTCGGTAAAAAAAAATGAAAAATGGACCGGCGATGCCGTGTTCGGTGCCGGTTCATGATAAAAAAATTGATCTTGGGTAGTCGATGAGATCGGATTGCCTCGTTCGTGGTTGCTTAGAATGAGTGAGTTACACACACCGTCTTGGAGGTATGTACTTGCATTGGCAGAGGGCCTCGGCAAGGCCCCAGCTCCCCCCCAGCCAGGCCCGTTATCAAGGCCAGATGGACCGTGCAGCCCGCTTCGCCACTCAGCTTAGGGTTGCTTGATTGGCCATGTTGGTTTTGTGGATTCTCAGCCCTGCCGTTCTCTCGTGCATCCACCCACACAACCTCCCTCCATTTCTCGACCTCACATCAACATCGACTCGGCTCCGCCTTGCCATCAGGGGGGAATGAGCCTTGCGCTATCCTCGATCGATGGTCCTACCCCCTTCCCCTTCATATAAGAGGTGGATGCGGCCGCTTTTCGCGACCACTTTGCTGCAGCCGGGTTCCTTATGTTGTCAGTTCTCATCTTTTCCCTCGCTTCGTTGTTCTACTGCTGTGTTTGCCGTCTTTGGTTGCAGAACAGGCCGCTTCTCCCACGCTGCCACGCTGCCACGCTGCCACGCCGCCGCCGGCTCACGCCCCCAAAGCCCCTTTTTGATTATTTTGATTTCCAAAGCACTCGAAAGCCCCCTCCAAGGACAGCTTCAAAGCTTCGCCCCGTTGAAGGCCTCCGCTAACTGGCCGGATAGCCGCTGTTGGTGCCACCGGAATTCATCGTGCGTTACCTCACACCTTTTTGGAACTCATGTCAGGTTGGGCTAGGCATCGCGACATCTATTTACGACAGCATAGGTAGTCAGCCCCCTCAGCCTGGGGGCCAGCAGATGAGGCTCGAGCACGCTGTAACCGAACTCTGGCCAATCTTGTCAGGCTGACCGCATCGTTTGCCGTCGACGCCCTGTGTCACGGTCGCTTATCGCGGCAAAGTTAGGCTGCTCCTGGCCAACCATAGGTCTACCAATATCGGGCCCCGGACGTCCTTAACCCCACGAAGGATACGTCGCTAATTCAGGGGCGGCCAGGAACTAAGCCGTGATGCCCGTGATGCCCGTGGTGCCCGTGATGCCCCTTTTGCCCCCTCACTCAGGGGCGAGGACATCTGGGCCGCAACTAATTATCCGTGCAACCGAAATGGGAGCAACCTGGTCTCACGCGTAGTGTATAATCCGGATCATCAAGTGCTGCCTGGCGAGGGCCTGATTTGTTTCCTTGATGCCCCTTTTAATCGCCCCATACGTTCCCCCCCTGTTCTCACAGATCAGACCAATAGATCCTGGATCGGGCTTGCTCACTGGCCAAACTGCATCCCATCTTTTGGGGTGCGGCTCACGGGAGCACCCGGGTCCCCATGGCCGGGGTGACACATAGGATGACTGACGTCAGGGCGGCCATGAGACCGTACGGTTTCGAATCCTCCGAGCATCCGTAAAGAGGGAAACGGTGGTCAATGTAATCTCCATCTCCTCGTCACCAAAAACTCTACGTACAGTAATCATCGGCAAGCAGTGGCTCTTGAAACGTCACATTGGACCGCAAACCTCCCGTCAGGTCCTCGAACAATTCTCACAAAAATTAGTCATGGAGAGTTCAGCCTCGCAGCCTTTTGCACATGCCCAGTTGAGAAGACCGCCGTTGATAGGTGGGGAGGCGCGGGGTCAAGAACACAGCCCGGTCTTCGCGGGATCGGTCCCGGAGAGGCGGTAACCAAGCAGAACGGCAGTGATCCTTCACCTCCATCGTATTTACCGCGGGCCCCCGAACGACAAGCCGTCCACGAGCCATTGCACTGCCAGCGCCAGAATGCAGTACAGAGCACCCGGGAGAGTTATTCTCTGGTGATAATCACATTGCTACCCTGCCCCCGCCCTAACAAGCAAGTTCCAGGTTCTCATAGTCTTCGCGTTTACCGGACAGGGGTGTAGAAACACGATGCCAAAATGCATAGTTTACCGCGCCGTGTCTTAGACTTCGGATACCGGAAGCCAGACACGGCATGCACAACAGCCCCAGTTCTTCCTCACGACATCCAAACGAGGAAGTGCCGTTGACCCGTTTCCCGAGCCGAACGACAAACCTACTTCCCGTGCAGTACCCGTAAAAACTAAAAAAAAAAAAAAAAGAAGAAGAAAAAAGAAGAAATCAACAGCAAGCCTCGCCCAGCTCACATGATATCCCGCCGCCGGGCCAGCTCCGCCTTAGCCCCATGCAGCACGGGACAGGGCGGATATATCCGCGGCATGGCAGCCCGGCCGTCACTCGTCTAAAGTCCCGCACCTCGTATACTAAATAGCCTTTTTCTTGCTTGTTGGTGACGAGGGAACGAGCGAGGCTGTGCCATCTGATCCTTTTCTTCCGTTCCCGCTCTTTCTTCCATCCCTCGCCCGACCGGAGCCGACCCGCGGTTAGTTAGTTAGTTATCTATTCTCCAAACAAGAATGAGGGTAAGCACACGAAAACGGGCTGGGCGGGCGGCAGACGGGTAGGTAGGCAGCGAAGCAAGCATAGCCACGTGTGACTGTACTTTTTTGGTGGGGGGAGGGGGGGGGGGGGGGGAAACAACGCAGCTTTGCATATTGTGCGGGTTGTTTTGGTGCAGAAGCCTGCTCTGGTTACGTGGAGTGACGCGATGCTGCGCCCTGTCTGCTTTCAGAAGAGCGGGTTTTATTTGACGAGGGCGAGTTGGGATCGGGTAGGTAGGTAAATGGACAAGTAGAGGGTACATTAGTATTCATGGAGAGCTGTGAACAGGGAATGAAGTCGAGTATTGGGGCGGAGTCAATGGAAAGAAGGTGACGAAGCATAATCGAGATAGAAGGTTGGAAGAGATGGAGTGGCAGCTGTCGAGCCAAATCATCATAGTGCACATCAACACCAACACCAACATCAACGGCAAACAAAAACACAGTGAGCTCATACTCTTGTATTGCTACAGCCCAAGAGAGAAGCTAAACTCAAATGCTATACTGTATCCCCAACAACAAGACAGGACATCAAAAATGCAGCGTAATCAACAATTGCCAAACAACCCAACCCGGCCCAGGCCCAGCCCCATGGAAATGTCTCCAAAAGGAACTCCCTTCCCTGCACTCCGTTCCGCCACCGTCTTCGCCAACTGTGAAACCAAAACGCCAACAATAGCCTCGAAAACTCCAAGTAAGCAAGAAAAAGAAACAAAACCACCCCTCCATCTGTCGTCTATCTCAGTCGGGGTAACCCTCCCTCGTCCCACCAACCTCTCCACCGCGCCGCGAATCACCGCCTGGAGGCGAGAGTTCAAACAGGGCGGGCGGAAGAGCTGCCCCCAAAGACGAGATGATAGCCAGAGAAAGGTGAGCCAATATAAGAAAAGGGGGTGAGGGGTATGATGGATGGATAAAGGACGAAACTCCTGCTAGAAGATGCATGCACCATCCGAAGCCATCATCTCTCGCCTCGTCCCAAGTCCGTTTTCCGCAACGCCAGGCATGCATGCAGTACGTAGGATTGCTCATAGCCAACAACGAAGTCAAGTCGGAGATCATTAAATTGGTGAGAGAAATTGCGGAGTGTCGTAATCGTCATAACTCGTGAACATCAATCGCTTCGTGGAGAAGAGGTACCAGAGCACAAAAAAGACCACGGCATTGGCGTATGCCGTGGGCTTAGTGTGCTCCGCTGACCTTTCTTGTGGCCGCGATAGGCGAGACATTCCCGATGCTACCGACGCGACCGCTGGTCTTGCGGACACCGGCCTCTCGTACCCCGCCGCTGGCAGCGGCACGCTTGGGAGAGCTGCTTGCTCCGCGGACCTTGGCCAGGACACCGGACGCCGAAGTGGCGCGCTGAACCTGGTCGTACGACTTTGACTTGGCAGCTGCCATGCCGAGGTTCTCGATATCGTTCGAAGCGTCGTTGTCAATGGCCTCGTATACGGTGGTTGTTGTCGTCATCGTGGTATGGTGGCTGACGGACCGTTCCCGTCGGTCTGGTGAGAGTGAGGCGGATGCCTTGCGGTGCGACCGCATGCGCAAATTCCACTCCTCATCGGAGTCGTTGGCGCGTGAGCGGCGCGCCGAGGTGACTTCGGTATGGATTTGCTGGTTCGCACCCTCTTCCTCGACCGTGGGTACCGCATTCGTGCTGCGGCCATAAGGATGATGGCGGTCAGCGCCGGCCCGCTGGGATTTGCGTGGCTGGCCTGGTGTAGGCGCAGGGAGGTAGTCGTCCTGCACGCCGATGGTGTTATCACGAGCGTGCTCTTGGTCGATCTCTCCAAGGGGCGTCCGGACACCGCCCCGGTTGGGGGGAGTCGACGTCCCGTTCTTGCTTGCGCTGCGGCCAAGGTGCGCTTTCTGCATGGCGCGGACGGGGGTGCTGGGCTGGTGGCTGCCGTTGGCCTGCGCGGCAGCGGCGGCGAGGGCTGCCTCCTTGCGAAGCTTGCGCTCGAGGCGCTCCTCGACCCACCATTCGCGGAAGGTCCCCTGGTTGAGGTGCAGCCAATGCTGCTGAGGGCCAACGACCATGCCGGGGCGCATGAAGCGCATATAGGAAATTATCTCGTTGGCCGTAAAACCGTGGCGGTAGATGAGGTACGCGCCGATCAAGCAACCCGTGCGGCCCAGCCCAGCCTTGCAATGGACTGCGATCCCCTTCTTCTTCACCGTGATCATGTCGTGGGCCATGCGGATGAATTTGCGCACCATGGACAGGGGCGGGCAGGTGCCGTCCTCGAAAATCATGTCAAGGTGCTGGATGCCGAGCGCCTCGAAATATGAGGAGTCGTAGAGAACCGAGTTTAGGCGCACGACGAGTCCGATGTTCCTCTCGGTGAAATGGGCCAGGACGTTCTTGAACGGCTGGGGAAGTGTGGGGTGGGCATCAACTGCCGCCAGCGTCTTCGGCAACGCCTTCCAGGCCTCGGTTCCCTCGATGGTGCGAGCGGAGGGGTTGCTCTGTGGCGAGGCAAAGGCGAGGAAATGGGGCGTGATCCAGTTGAAGTCACCCTGCTCAACTCGCTCGAAGCGCTCATATTCGTCGAGGTCGAACGTCTCGAGGACGCAGCAGCCCTCCTCCTTCGCTTTCCAAACTCCATAGACAATGTCTTGCACGGTGATGCCGTAGTCGGCCTGACTATAGCCGGCGTCTCTGAAGGGCATCAGCGGCGGGTCGACCTGGGCCACAGGCGCCAACGCCAGGTGGGGAGGCCATGACTGGATGAGAACCATGTAGCACGCGAGCAAGCAGGAGGCATTGGCGCGGCCTACATATGGATTATTAGTAAACGCCAACCAACGACAGTGGTAATTCGGAGGCGGGGCACATACTGCGCGGGTCTGCCCTGCTCCAGAACACAATCGGCCTGTCCTTGTTCTCCTTGGCTCCCAAGATTTCGTGAAACTGCAGCGCGAAGCGGTACAGGTGACCAATGTGCAGCGGGCCAAAGTCGTGGTGGAAGGCATTGTAGAGTAGAGTGTCGTCTACGGTGAAGTAGTAGGGCTGCTTTTGGCTGTGTGTTGGCGCGGGGGACTCGAGAGTCCGTTGCGACCTCTTGCTTGGCGAGCGCGGAGGCGGGTCGGGGTAGGGGAAGACGGTGTTGGCATCGGGGGTTTCGACGTAGGATGCGAGATAGAGACGGTCTGTAATGGTTAGTACTATGCCAATACAGTCGGAGGAAAAGATATGTTTGACAGCCATGCGACTGCGCCTCATCGTTGCTGGGCAAGGCCAACAATAACAAAAACACATGTGATGGAGCCGCGAATGCGACGGCTGACAGAAGACAGGCAACCAAAAAACATACCTGGAATATACTCAATAATCTGCCCCAGATTTGTGGGGTGCCGGGCAGAAGGAGCCATCTTGTCGAGGGTTTTCGTTGCTATTGTTGATCGGGGAAAGTGCTGCCGCGCGACAACGCATGTACTCTGAAACGAGGGCTGCTTGGTAATATCTGATGTGCCGAGTCTTGCGACTTCGATCACAAAGCCAAAACAATTGCAAGAGCCTTCTAAGTTGCGGTCGTTGTTTAGTCGGCGGCGAGACTGAAAGCAGGCACGGAGCAGCGGAGGAGCGGAGGAGTCGACAACGCGCGAGGGTATTAGGATCCAAGAAGCAAAGCAATTGCACTCGCCAACAATGCCGCTATACAAACTCAAGCAAAAGATGCTGCAGAGATGCCAACCTGCTTGAATGACGGATGCAATTGGAAAGGAGGAAATCCGCACAAGCAAAGGTTGAGGGGGAGGTTTTGTATGAATGATGGGTGATGTTTTTAGCTCAAGGCCTGTTGTTATGGCTTGCTTCAGGGTCTCTTCGGTGCTGGGAGCTCGTAGCCAATCCCAATCGTCCAATCTGCGCCAGGGGTATTGTCGCCATGGCAACAACACTGGTCAGGCTGCCGGACAATTGGCTTGGTGGAGCTTAACAGACAGGGGTGATTTGCGGACCCCTTTCTGCGCGCCTGTTATCTTATCGCAAAGCCAACGGTTGCCCCACCAGTGCAGCGCTGGAATCCGAACATCGTCATCTGTCACCACTCCGAGACGAAACCCCTTGACTGCCAGAGTTGTTGGCGCCAGCACAGCCATGGCCACCGACACGTCAAATGGGTTCCCCTGCGCCCTGTACGTAACATTATGAGACATGTTTCCTTCCTCTTAACGTACAATAACTAGGCGGCATCGAAACTTATACCCACAATCTTTTTGTCGAGAATTACCCCGCTAACTGCTTGCTTTTCTTTCATCGCAGAACCCTCGACGTCCCTTTCCCCAATGCGCGCCTCGCCTCGGTGGCGCTGCAGGCTCTCAGAGTTGACAAGGAGTTGTCATCATTAGTGAAGCGCAATCTATCCGCCGTCGCGACTGAGGGCTCATTAGATCCGACCGTCCTCCGAATCGAATACAAAGCCGCGACCAACCGCATGCTGCGCGTCGCTGCCAACTCGTTCCTCGACAGCCTTGCTTTGGTGTTGGAGGTTCAAGAGGAGCTTGACGTAGATGCGGTAGAGGCGAGACAGGCCGAAGGGACGAGCGGATGAATGTGAGGAGCGTTAACTATCCTTGGACATACCAACAAAACCCAGCTTCGGCCATCAAGTCTAGGACCATCGTCTGAGAGCATTCAAGCCCTTCATAAGATGAGTGGACATCAAGTGCACCGTTCTGCAAAGATATGAAAGGGGGGTCAAGAGCATGGCACGCCCAAAAGCGCAGCGCCGCTAGACGTGTATTTGTGAGGATGGGGGGCTATGAAATGGAGATTTGCCTGATGTTAAGCGGGTATCATCTATTCGGGAGCCTACAGCTCACAGCTAGCCAAACCACCCAGCACAAGCTCCGGGTTCATACCAGTTACAGCTGCTCTTCCTTAACATGCTGTCCCGGCGACCCGGCCTCGGCCTCAACCTGCCGCTGCAGTTCCTCGTCGGCCGCCGCCGCCGCACCAGGGGCCTCATCCTCTTCCCCGTGCCCATTGGCGCCACTGAATCCGTTTACATCACCATCCTCCCGTTTGACGGGGCCGCTTTTGGGGCGGTGTCTAAACACCTTGACGAAACCGTCCTGTCCCGAGCTCACCATGATGCCCCCGTGGACATCCACGCAGAAACACACCCCGTCGTGCGCGCCCTCCATCCGTTGTATGATCCCCTTGCTCTTGACGTCCCACATGACAATGTCGCCGTCCTCGCTCGCCGATGCTATGAACGACTGCTGTCGGCTCTCGTCATCGTCAGCGGTATGTTCCTCGCCCCCGTCGTCGCGGTCAGTGAGCACGCCAAAGCACCCCCCGATTGAAAACCCCTGGTTCGAATGCCCTTGGTATGTCTTCTTGACCGAACCCGAAACGTAATCCCACAACCGGATGGAGTTGTCGAGGCTAAAAGCGAGCACGAAGCGGCCGTTCGGGCTGAAGCAGACGTTTGCGACGGCGGGGTTATCTTCGTGTACGAGGGTGCGGAGGCACTGCCCGGTCGGAGGTGTTCCCAGAACGCGACTATCAAGAAAAGCAATGTTAGCCCATGGAGTGGCAAAAAGTAGCAGCAGGCAGAGCGCGAGGAATTCGCAGCGACTCACATCAGCCCCGTCCCGTCGAGCAGCTCACCACGAGCGTCCCCATCCCTGCAGAAGTCGACGCCCGCTCACCGGGTCACTATGCGCCGGCAAGCTGCGCATCAACCTCCCCAGCCCTGACATCCCACAAAAACACCGCCTCGTCATAACTCCCACTGGCGAGGATATTCCCCTTGGGCGAGAACCCCAGACAATACACATAATTATGATGGCCCAACAATGGCCCGCCGGCCCGTCCTCCCCCCTCTCACCCCCTCCCCGGGGACCCCCATCCTCGCCCTTCTAGCCGCCGCCTTGGCCGCCGCGACGCCGCCCTTCTTCGCCACGCCGACCATGTCCGCGGCCGTGTTTTCGCGGTGGGCGACGGCGTGCGCCGGGCTGCCCGTGACGCGGTCCCACAGCCGGATCGCCTTGTCGTCGGAGCCCGTGGCGAGTGTGTTGCTGTCGGGCGCCCACGCCAGGCACGACACCCCGGCCATGTGGCCCACCAGCGTCTCGAGGTGGGCGCCCGTCGACGCGTCCCAGATCTTGGCTGTGCCGTCCGCCGACGCCGAGGCGATCCAGCGGCCGTCGGGCGAGATGCGGACCTGGGAGACGGCGCCCGCGTGGCCTTGGAGGAGGAGGTGTTGGTGGTAGTTGGGGAGGAGCGGTGGTTGATCGTGCCGGTGGTGGTGGTGGTGGTCGGGCTTGTCGTGGGTGGGGGGTTGGGGGTGGGAGGGCGAGGATAAGCTTCGGCTTCGGCTTCTGCTTCTGCTTTGGGAGCGGGAGCGGCTGTGGTCGTGTGTTACGGAACGAGAGCGGGAACGGGAGTATGAGGCGCTGCGGGAGCGGTGGCGGTCTCTTGATTGCGATCGAGAACGAGGTGTTGATTGTGCGCGGGAACTAGATCGAGATCTTGACCGCGAGGAGTGGTATCGTCTTCTATTATCCTCGTTTTCGTTATCCATCGGGGCGTCCCCATCTCTACTCCGGCTTCGCGACCGACTCGGGGGACCGCGCCGGATGGAGAGGCTTTGATCGGGAAGGTGTCCGGTGTTGGGCGGGGAGTTCTGCGGTGCGCTGTCCGGAGATCCATATTGAGGAGTGGAATCGAGGCTATCGTCGTGCACTCTGCGCCTCTTTGATGGAGGCTCCGAGATGGGCACCCCGGATGCTGGGTCAACCTCTGACATGATCGATTGTTGTGTGTTTATGTATGTGAAGAATTGTTGACAGCCCCAGTCAGCTCTTTCGAGAACCAGTCGCGGTTTCCCTCTGCCGCGTCGGGCAGTATTCCAATTGAAGCATGGGATGCGACAGTGTGACAGGGAGCTAAATTTCAGTGGGACTTTCTAGCTTGGCTTTCACCCCACCAAACAGCAGGGACCGCCAAAGGTGCACAGGCCAGCAACTCTGTTTGGTGATCCGAAGGCCCTGAGAGGAGGCCACGCGCAGGGGCAACCCAGCAGCTGAGCCAGGGGTTTTCAGAGGAAGCTTCCTCCTCTCACTTCCCCGAGCTTGGTTGGGATTTCTCTCCCACTTCGATAAATTCTATAAATTCATCAACAATACCAGGCACTGGATATTTTGTGTGGCCATAATCCATATAATCACCATGCCGTTATTCCAACAGAATTCATTTATCCTCCTCACGTAACTGTTTGACAATTGAGCCGATTCCTATTCCGAGACAGCCGGTGAAATCTACTGCTGTTGTTTTCCATTTTATCACAAGTCGAAACATGGTCGAGTAGATCACAATCTCATCTTGGGCGAGATATATACTACTATACTTGACTACTACCTTAATTACTGTGTATCCAACGGTACAAATCTCTAGGGACCCTGCTTCCACGCTTCTCAACATCACTCACATATCGAAGAATAGCAAAGCCATACCTACCTGGAAATCAAAAATGCAAAATCCGCCAGCAGAGATTAATCTTGTCACGCTCAACTGCTGGGGCCTCAAGTATATCTCCAAGCTCCGCAGAGAACGCTTGACCGAGATCGGCCGTCAGCTTGCCACAGCCAGTCCCCAGCCGCACATCGTCGCCCTGCAGGAGTGCTTCACCCAAGAAGACTACCAGAGCATCCGCCATGAAGTCCGCTTTATCCTCCCCTATGGCAAGTTCTACCACAGTGCCGCCTTCGGTGGCGGGTTGGCCATCCTCTCACGTTGGCCCATCGAGGAGAGCACCATGTACCGCTACCCCTTGAATGGTCGTCCAACCGCCTTCTGGCGCGGCGACTGGTATGTCGGGAAGGGCATCGCCTGCGCAAAGATCCGTTACGGCCCGGCGGCGAAGCAGGTCGTCGAGGTCTTCAACACCCACACTCACGCCCCCTACGAAGGTGGGAAGCCGAATGATTCATATCTCTGCCACCGTACCGCCCAGTCATGGGAGATGGCCAAGCTGCTGCGGGGCGCTGCTGAGCGTGGCCATCTGGTGCTTGCCATGGGCGACTTTAACATGATCCCTATGTCGCGCGAGTACCAGCTCATCACCGGCCTGGCTCCCGTCAGCGATGTCTGGCGTACTCTCCACCCAGATAGCTCGCTTGGGCCGTCCCACCACCCCGCGGAGGAGGCTCGTCATCGCCCGGTCCCTACTGCCGAGTTCAACATCCAAGAGAACGGGGCTGCGTCGGATGGCCCGTACAACACCTGGCGGTGGACCAAGGCGCAGCAGAAGCTACTAGGGCCAGGAAAACCACCAGTCACTGTGTCCCCGGACACACCCGGTAGGGTTATTGTTCCCACCTCAAATCCGCCATGACTAACCCCCACCTAAGACCCCCTCGGCAAGAGACTAGACTATATATTTGCCAGCTCAGGAGACGCCATGGCCCTTGGCGGCACTTGGGAAGTCGAGCAAGCGAACGTGGGCATGATGATGCGGCATCCGGAGCTGGGCTGCTCTCTCAGTGACCATTTCTCCATCGAAGCCACCCTCTCCTTCCAGCCCTTCCCTCCACCACCACCCGAACCCACCCCCAACACGGCCTCTAACCACGAATCCACCCCCACAACCATAGCAACAGCAACAAACAGCACTCTCCAACCACCACCACCCTCCGAACTCACCCAACCAACCACCACAACGACCACAACAACACCAACAGTCGCACCCGACCACCCAACCACCAAACGAGACTCGGCCCTCCACAACGGCACCTACCTGCAGCTGCAATCCCCGACCCCCAGCCAACGCACCTCCGCCGAGCACGCCGGCCGCCCGACAACCCCACCCCCCACCCAACCCACCCTCCCCCTAACCGCCTACGACGCCATCCTCACCCTCATCCACGCCTACACCGCGCGCGAGCAGCGCCAACAGGCCTGGCGCACGCGGCACTTCTTCCTCGCCCTCGCCGCGAGCATCGCCTGCCTCGTCGGCGCGTGGTTCACGCCGGGGATCGGCACCAGCGACAGCAGTGGCAGCACAGCGGCCGGGGCGGTCGGGTTCGTGCTGGTGCTGGTTAGCAGCGTGTGGTTGGCGGTAGGGACGGTGGACGGGCTGATGGCGGTGCTGTTTTTTGCGGGGGAGCTGAATGCGCTGCGGGAGTTTGAGTGGGAGGTGAGGAATGCGAGGGGGAGGGCGGTTTTGCGGTCGGGTGGTGGTGCTGGGGGAGACGAGGGTGTGGTTGGGGATGGAGGGGATGGGCCTGTTAGGGAGAATGGGTGGTGATGGGAAGATGGGAAGATGGGAGGGGGTTGATGTAAACCCCGACACCACCTACATGTAGTTTGTTTAATCTAATCCACGGGGCATCACAGCATCCGTGCAGGAGGTATCTCCATTTGTCAGACGCAAACAATGTATATAACACGACCACGACTGGGGCTCAAGACCGGAAAGGTCACCTGGCTGCATTTTTGAATGCATTTTTGAATCATCGCATTGACAATGTAAAAACACGACTTGGGTTGGTCATACACTCATTCCATTACTCTACGACAATATTTTTCTCCCTCTTCTAAATCTATAGAAGAACCGACCCCCAAGGAAACGGAATAGATAGTGGGATGCCCATAATCCTCCCCCATAAGCTCCTTTATTTGTATCCCACCATCGTGGACTTGCATCCGTTTGGAAGCCGATGGGCACCGCGGTTGGCTTTGCCGATTACCGACAACCAACTTTAACCCTCCATCGTAGCAGCGCCATCTGCCCCCTGGAACCGCTTCAATTCGGCCAAAACCTCTGCCAATTGGGTC